GTGAATGCGTGATCAAAAAAAGTTTGTATCAGAGAGAGGGAATGCCGCACGGCTATCGATCACACTGCCGTGCACCGTGTCCGCTGAGTACTTGCGCCAGAAGAGCAGGGACGGCGATACAGCATATCCGCAGAGTTTACAACAGAGGGGGTAAACGTGGGGTCTCTCTAATTTGCAATACAAAGAGAATAGATGAACAGGACAGTCGTTGTTTGTCGCGTGCGCGGCGTGTCGTTCAGCCATTCACGGCAACTTCTCGGTGTGCATCAGTTTGTAAATTGCAGCAGCAAAACTCATATATTTATGCAAAAGAAAACCTTCAATGAAGGGCGTTTTGGAATTTCCCCATCTCTCCAGCCCTCGTACATAAACGACCAAACACGACAACTCATCCGTCGCACGCGGCGTCTTTCGCCACACTCACCAGCGCGGAATTCTGCGATTGTCTCGTCATATACCCCTTATTAGTAAGTAAACACGGCTGTGCTCAAGTGGTTAATGATTTCCTACAAGAACGAGAGGTGGTAGGCACAGGAAAATAGATCTTCAAACAAAGCCATAGACACAAAGTCCCCACTGGAAGTGATGCTGCATTAAAGGCAGTTGGCACGATGATTTGGTGCTCGGCCTAAAATGCTAGTAGGGCGCTATATAGTGGGGAAATGGCGAAAGAACGGAGTGAAACGGTCAAAATCCTGCGAAGAAAGAGCCTCCGTTCTCACTGTGTTAGTAATCAATTTTGGACGAGTTTCCCGTAGGCATCTTGCCAATAACCGCTACCGAAGGTACGGCTGCATATGTGTACTCATATATCCATGCAGCATCACGGCCGCTTCATACCAATCCCTTCGCTTCATAATTTGCTTAGCAAATGAATGAATACGAGCGTCAGGAACGGTCGTCCATTTGTGGGCGGGCGGGCGTGGCGGGCGTTTGGGTCGTAATGTTGTGGCTTGATAGGGCCCTTATAAGGGCACCTTCCTTGGAAAAGGCATTATGCAGCGCCTGCTCAGGGTCGCGGAATTCCGTCCTGCCAGGCGTATTAGTCCTACTCGTCTTGGAAATTTATCGTGCCAACTTCCTTTAATAATCTGGAAGCTAGGAACTTTCCAAAATAACCTCTCAGTTTCGAATGTAAAACTTCAGGAAAACTCTGTATCGTTGAAGAAAAAGAGGCACAGTAAGAAGAAGAGTGAGGAGAAGCTGAAGGAAGTTAGCTCGGTATGTTTAATTTCATGATTTGTTCGTAATTTGAGAAATAGCTTGTAAAATAAGCCTGTAGTTTGATGGTGCCACTTTGACTTCTCATTAGATGCGTTTCAGGAATATCCCGATGAAAACAGCTTCAACTGTGCTAGCTCAGCCGACCGAGTTAAAATGGGTTAGAAACGCTACATCGAGAAGTCCAGAAAAGAGGTTGGTATTTGAAATGTATTCCGGACGCGAATAACTTTCTCTTTAACACATTTTTCTTTTAGGTACGTACGGGTAAAGTACCAGTTAATGAGGTGATGGGCCGCGGGTATGGCCAAGCGGGTACGTTGAAGTCGCAATCGAATGCAACCATTGGACGGACAATATTGCAACGCCTGGTTGGCAATAATGTCGATCCAGAAGCAATCTTCAGTGCAGCCTTACGTCAGATGCCTCAAGTGCCAGGATTTCCATCGATAAGTAAGTTTTGGGTAAATCCTATTTGTGCTACTTTGGCAGAGAGGGTTTGGTCGGTAATCAGGCTCAACAATTCAGAGAAACGTGCAGTTTTGTGGCGTTTTTTGACCTGGGGTGGGGGCAAGTGATTTTAATGAGAAGAAAAAAAACTCCATTCCATAACTGACAAGGCGGCTTTTTGGGCTTATGTATAAATAGTCTACCTGATACATGACAATGAAGCGCAATCCGCCACCCCCTTGGGCTGCTTTTATACTATGCGTCAGCGTTTTGCGTACGTCACGTATCGTTTCAAGCGACTTGGAATATACATATCGATCCTGCTTTTTGAACGTCCACTAATTTTTTAAGCATTTCGTGGGCAATTTGAGCTTTTGGCGGGCTGTTGCTGATGGTCGTCGTTGCTGGCGTACGCTCAAAACGCTAGATCGCTACCCATACTTTCCTAGTCGTTCAGAAACCTGATGAGTGGTCGCTTAACACGCTGACGCAAAGTATAAACACGGCCTTAGGTTCCGTTCATACTTATGAAGAAATGACGATTCCACGGGTTCTGCCGACTACGCGAGTTGAATTTGATGATAAGGAACCAATAGATGGTCACTGATCGTTTAACGCCGCCCTTTGCGTTCTGAGAGAAACAAGTTTTTGCAAAATCTCTTTTCTTAAAGAAGTGGCGCGAGAAATTAAATGCAGTTGCACAAATAGGTTACTAATGGATGCATTAGGTTGCTGATATTCAGCTCATCGTCCCGACTCAGGACCCCACTCAACCGTGTTCCGTCCGGAGCTATTCAAGACAACAATGGAAGCATACGCATCAGCGGCAGCTCAATGTGGCTCGGATATTTTCGGCGGATTCCGTTAGTCTTCCACATAATTTTTTTCCTGTATTGGAAAA